GTAGGGGGCTTCTGTGCGAGGACTACATTTGCTAGCCATGAGGGATATTTCACCTCCTTGATGTGCTTAATGGAGATGAGCATGGCGACCTCCTTCTTCACAAATTCCCTTCTCTCAGCGGAGAGGGGTCTTCTTCGTTGCTGTACTGCCTTCGCCGAAGGGTCCACCAAGAGGCGGTGGGTGATGACCCTTCGGCTGATTCCCGGCATGTCCTCCGGCCCCCATGCAAAGACAGTGGAGTAGGCGCGGAGGGCGTCGGTGATACCGGTCTTCAAATCTTCAGGGAGCTGGGCTCCAATCTTCACGAGTCTCTCCGGCTGGGCCGGATCGAGCGCAAAGTCTTCTACGTCCTCGGCCGGTTCAGCCCTCGGCCTTCTTTCCTCTTGGTCGATGGTTCCGGTGATGGTGTCAACACGGAATTCCGTCTTGCTTACCTTCTTAGTGACCTGAAGATAGCAGGCGCGGGAAATTTTCTGGTTCCCCCGGGAGTAGCCAATGCCCCCCTCGGCGGGAAACTTGAGGCAGAGGTGCCTCATGGAGATGATGGCTTCGAGGTCCTCGAGGGCTGGCCGGCCGAGGATGATGTTGTGGGCACAGTCAATGTTGACGACGACGAACTCCACTTCGAGCTGGGCTCTATGGAGCCCGTCGCCGAAGATCACCGGGAGGGTTATTACCCCCTCGGAATCAATAGTGTCGCCGGTGAAGCCGACAAGAGGGGTCTTAATGGGCCGAAGGGACCCCCTCTCCAGATGCAGCTCTCTGAAGGTGCTGAGGTACATTAAATTGACGGAGCTGCCCGTGTCAACGTAAGTTCGGTGAATGATGGTGTCGTTTATCTCCGTCCGAATCACCAAGGCATCACCTGTGAGGAGAAGAAGTAGGAGGGAGATCTGCGTTGGTGAAGGTGATGGGTTCCTCCCTCAGTCTCTTTACCGGGGGCATATGAGTGACTTCCCCCACGTAAAGCGATTGAGCCCACTTCTTTCGCTGGCTGGTGGAATCGCCCCCTGTATTGCCACCGGTGATCATGAGGATGTGGCGTTTTTTCTCCTGGTAGTGGGGGTATTCCTCCTCCCCTTCTTCCAAGTTTCCAATCTCCCTCTTCTTGCCGAGGGGGATGGTATTCGGGTTTATCCAAGCATTTACCTTCGTGTGGTGCCCTCGGGGAGGCCCCTGATGAGAAGGTCCCTCATGCCGAGGGTTCTGAACAAATTGGGACAGGTGCCCTGCTTGTATTAACCTCTCGATGGCTCTCTTTAGCTGATGGCAGTCATCGGTCCTGTGCCCCTGGTGCCGATGGAAGCGACAGTAGGGGAACTGAGGGTTGATAGCGTGTACCTCCGGGGGTGCGCGAGAGTCGCGCTCAACGAGGCCCCTCTCCTCGGCAAAATCGAGGATGATGCTGACGGGGTGCGTCAATGGTGTCCGAGGGCGGTCCAGGAGAATGGGTTGTGCCCAAGTCTTAGGTTGCTCTTATAACCTCCCCCGGGCTTGGCTTGGCCTTGCCGAGGGCGGTCATCAGAGGGTCCCGAAGTCTTGGGGTGATTTGGAGGAGCCCCCGGCCCTCGGTTGTGCTTGTTGTCAGCCCTCGGGGGCTGCTGGTCCGGATGCTGGTGATACTTCTCCACCTCCTCGGCCTCAGCATATCGGTCCCCCCGCTGCAAAGCCCTTATGTAGTCGCGGGGGGGGGGGGGGGTTCGATGATGAGGCTCCTTGAAAAGTTGTCGGTGCGGAGGACGGTTTGTAGGAGGGCCAGGAGGGTCCCGTCATCAGCACCGTCGACCTTGTCGGCCTCCGTCCTCCAGCGCTCCAGGAAGTCCCGAAGGGTCTCCTCCCTCTTTTGGCGTATAGTTAGGAGGTGGGAGAAGTGCTTCCTCGTGCGACGCCTCCCGGCAAATTGTGTCAAGAATCGCTGGGCGAGTTCTTGCCACGAATCAATGCAGCCCTCGGGCAGCCTGTTGAACCATTCGTATGCCGGCCCCTCTAAGGTGGAGAGGAACCAACGACACAAATATTCGTCCGACGCCCCTACCATCATCATGCTGTTCTGGTATTTGCTGTAGTGTTCCTGGGGGTCCGTTTTTCCGTTGTAGGGCTGTATGTGTTGCCCTCGGTATTTTTCCAGGATCCGGGCCGCCAATACCCTTGGGGTAAATGGCGTCCGAGTCCGGAGCTGGATGACGGGTTCCCCGGAGCCCTCGGCCACCTTCTTTTGTAACTCCTCCATTTTGGCCATCATGGCCTCGTATTTGAGATCTGAATGGGGGGTGGAGGTGGTGGCGTGAGCTTTGTTGGACTCCATTTCGTCAAGCCGGCGTTGGAGGGCCGCAATAATCTCGTCCCGGGGATCCTTCGGGAGGGTCTCCGCCCCCTGCGAACGAACCCGGGCCGAGTGGGCCTGATTGATTTGGTGCCGAGCATCATCGGCATGAAGGGGTGCCTTGCCTTTGTCCCGAGGGGGACGCTCCTCGTCTGCCCTCGAAACAGATCCCCCACTTTCCTGGGGCCTTTGGAGTGCTTTCCCCCCGAGGCGGTCTTGGACCCCTCGGCGGTCTGGCCCTCCTCCGAGCCGGTTGAGGGCGGAAGTAAGGGGCCTTTCCCTGTTGTCATTATGGCGGTCCCGGGACTGAACTTCCTGGGAGGACGTATCTTGGGCCACCACCCCTTCGTCGTTTCTCACCCGAGGGGTGGGATTTCCGAAGGGGTGTGGCAGAGGGGGAAGTATGATGTTTTCCCCAACCTGAGGGTGAGCTAGAGCCAGGGTGCCGAAGGCACCCGGGTTCTGGGTGAGCGTTTGGATGAAGGCGGAGAGCGCCGATTGCACGTCGATGGTGAGAACCGGAGGGCTGACTTGGTCATCGCTCCGGTTTTTCTTTTTGGCCTCGATGCCGAGGCGGGCATCGGGGGCATTTTGTTGGATCTGAAGGCGTAGGTCGACAGCCGCCTGTTCCAGCCCAGCGATGACACCGTCCTCGGGAGCCCTGTGAGAGGCTTCGGGGGCGTTGACGTCGCCGAGGACCAGGTTCTTGTCTTCTACGTTCTTTGAGTTGGCACGTGTTGTCCTCACCATTTTGATAGAGGGCTAGTGTTTTGTGTTTGGTCGAGGGGGAGGGTTTCTTACTTGATTGTTCGACCTCTCAACGAGAGCACCAAATGATGGATAGTCTACCCGGGGGTATATATCCGAAGGGTTATTACGGGGAATAACTTAGAGAGAAGTCAGAGCAAGTAAGTAAATGTAGAGAGAGAGTGTATTCAGTATGAATGCCGTTTTCAGCGTGGTTACAAATGGGGAAATGGGGTGCTATTTATAGTAGCAATAAATGTCGGACAGGGACACGTGTCAAGCGCTCATTGGCCGAGGGGTCACCTCAACTGGTTGGCGCTGGCAGCCGCATGTGGCCGCATTTAATGCGGCTGTTGGACGGGACGTCTGTGCAGGGTACGGCGATCTGTACGCATGTGAGGCGGATATCTTGTCGAGTGAGATGCCTTCGGCTATAGAGCAGTAGCCGAGGGCTCCTCCAACCGATGGCACCCTGGTGCCGAGGGCTCACAGTGCCGAGGGCTACCATTTTCGCCGTTTTCTCCCAGTTTCTTAATTTGCTTGAGAAACCCGTTCTGTGAGAGTTTAGAGCCTTCGGCCAGGGGGCCGAAGGCACTCCTGGCGCGTAGTGCGGGCTGCTTGGTACTTTGGGCGCTGTGATTTGGGCCTGTTGGGCCTCCTGGGCCTGTTGGGCCTTCATTGGTGTAGTAGGAGTCTGTGGGCCGGGGGTTCCCGGGCCATATACTCCATCATTTATGTTGGGTGAATCGTATGTTTAATCGGAAAATAAAGAAATTAATTGATTAAAAATAACCAAGAAAATAGAAACAAGAAGGGATAGAAAGTTAAAGCTTGTGCAACACCAATTTCCTTAAAACGTATTTCATGCCTCCCACGGTGCTAGCAGCGCTGCAACAATAGTTTTCTAGGATACGGTGGCTACGAACAACCGATTGCAACCGTATAAGCACACAATTGGTTGTTCTGGCGAAAACAAAGTAAGAACACTAAGGAATTTTCAGAGAGGTGAAGGTGTTTTTGGCTGAAAATGTATGTGCTAACTATGTCATGTCGTGTAGACTCGTGTGTTGTTGCAAATAACCTTCCAGCTATATACAGGGATAAATTTGTTGTGTGTTAAGTGACCTTTAGTGGACCAGAACGTTGAACATAAATGACCAGAACGTTGGACATTAATATGTTGAAAAATATTCCATTTAAAGACGCATTAAAGGAGAAGAACATTGGGCATTAAAGGTTGTAATGGCCCATAATTGTTCTTACCCGAACAGAACAGAAGTGTTGTTCTGAAGCAACAGAACAGAAGCGCTCGGCCAGCCTGTTGATTCTGGCAAAAAAAATGGAACGTTGCAGGAATAAAAAAAATTAAATCGTTTCTTTGTAAGATAAGATTTTTGAGCAACATTCGTGTTCGCAAGTCACCCACACACGCAATTCATGATTTTTCGACATCACTCCTGCACTTGAAGAAAGCTTTTCCACCTAGGAATTTTAACTCCTTCAAAGAGGGTCACCTTTATAAGGGGATGAAAATCCCTCGGATTTTCCGGTGTGGGATAAATCACACTAGAAACTCATCATTTTTCAAGTTTTCTCTATTTCAACGAGTGAGTTTTGAGAATCAATTTCTCATTCACCCGTCATCCGTTTTGAGTGTACCATATATCGAATCGAAGCCTTTAAGAAGGGAATAGGATACAATTTTACCACATTTTCCCAACAGTTTAATTTATATTTGGAATCATCCAAATATGTTTATAGGGTAGAGTGCCACAATTGCATCCAAATGCATAAAGTTAATCACTAATTTATTTATATTAAAGTAACCGATTCAATCACGGTATTACTTGCTGAAATTAATATGAAAATAATAATCACCGGAAAAAATGAAGAGAAATAGGCAGATGACATATAGAATTTTCAGATGAACCTTTTGAATGATTTCTACCACTGCAGACGAAGTGCAGAAAGAACCAGAAGGCTCAATCCTTTCATTGTTAGAAAATTGAGTTCCTTCCTCAATCGCAACTATTTTATCCTTTCCTGCCATTTTGTGTAATATCCTTAGCTACGTTTATTACTAACGACTAATGACAAATAATAAATATTAGTCCTTTGTGTAAAAGATAGAGTATATGGTTAAACATTAAGCTAAACATTAATGGATGGTTAAGCTACTTTTAAGAGCGTTCTACGGTTGTCGCTAATTTCACTGCCTAAGTTTCATACTATTTCGGTATTTGGTTAATAACGTTTTGTTATAATCAACGTTAGACGGCTGATTTTAAATTGGGTTCAGGGCACGCGGTTGACTGAGAATTTGTATAGATTTAAAGTGTTGTCTGGTTGAGGAAATGATCTTGTTCAGCCGGATGGACATAGCTCCATCTGATCGCGCCTTCAGGACAGTTCCCGGTGGAAGTTTTTAGTGACATTTTGTTGAGCGTGTTCTTCGTCAATTCTAGTTTATTAACATCCAATTTCAGCTTAAAATTCAATCGAGAAGACAGTCAAATAATTTTTGAAGATAATTGTGCCAAAATATACATATAAAACGCAGTTATTTTTGAAAATTTATTAAACAACCTTCCTGATTGAATTTTAAGTTGAAATTTGGTGTGGATAAACTAGACTTAATAAAGAACATGTTCAAAAAATTCATTAAAAATTCCACCGGGAACCGCATCAAACGTCAGCGACCGGACGGTCCATCCTGTCCGGAAGGATGGACCAGATCTTTTTCCATGTCTGTCTTATTCTTGTTGATTACTCTTATTTTATTCGGATCAGATCAGATCAAATTACAAAAATTCAAATTAGATTAGATATGATCGAAAAATATTCAGAACGGATTAGATGAGAAATATTAAGATTAGATAAAGAAGATTCTGATTAGAGCATATTAGAAATATTCAAAAGATTAAAAGTAGGGGAATTTTAACTTTGCACTGATTTTCAAAAAATTTAAACTTTGCACCCATCGTATAACATTTGATGATTTGAGCGAAAAATTTTCTAAGTGTGGTGTAAAGTTAAAAGGTCCATGACTCGAATGTCTTTTTGTTTCTACCGTTTTGTTTAGCTTTTTTATTCCCTGTCACACTCCGAAATCCTAAATCCAAACCGACCCTTTAAGGTAGTACTTCTCGAAAAGTTTGGTCAAATTTCCTTTTTTGGACGTTTCAAAAAGATTTGTCATTTTCATTTAAACTAAGGAATATGTGGTTAAATTTAATTCTCTATCCTCTGCATAAATTTCAAACACACAATTTTTACTTTATTAATTCACGTGAAGTCAACTTTTGACAACTTTTTCGGGACGGATGGAGTACGACAAGTAGATTTGAATGATGAGTCTCCATGTTTCAAACTCGCTCCGCTCTCTTTCTTTGACCCTTATACCATACACAATCGTCAACGTTCTTTTTTTACGTAGTACTCCGTATTAATGTATATCCCTCTCAAGACAGAGTCAAGAAATTAAAGCCGATATATATGTATATATATGTTTCTCATCTGAAATAACTCACACCGGTCCTCGATCATTTCCAGTTCATTAGTAATTGATTGTTCTTACAATCTAACTCGTTAAGATAAGTTCTGATCTTGATCTGACTGGTTGCGTATAATTCGTTACAACTTGCAAGCTAGAAGGAGTTTGTATTTAAGGTGAGAAGAAACACGTAGAGATCATCAAATCAAAGAATGGGAAATAGTTTAGGGGGGAAGAAAACAACTAAAGTGATGAAAATTGATGGGCAAACGATGAAATTCAAGACTCCAGCATACGCCGGCGAGATCGTGAGGAATTACCCGGGGCATGTTTTACTAGATTCCGAGGCCGTGAAGCACTTCGGCGTTCGGGCCAAGCCGCTTGAGCCGCAACAGGAGCTGCGGAGCAAGCGGCTCTATTTCCTCGTGGAGATACCAAAGGTCCCCGAGGAAAGAACCCCGAGGCGGGTCCGGTCCGGAACGATTCAGATGAGCGCCAAGGACCGGCTCGAGAGCCTAATGCTGTCCCGAAGGTCGTCCTCGGATCTGTCGTCGATGAACCCATCTGCTAGATTTCCCGTCGAGGCCGAGAAGGCGGGAGCATCCGAGAACGGTGGCGTGCGCCTCAAGCTCCGGCTCCCCAAGGTGGAGGTAGAGAAGCTGATGATGGAATGTAAGGATGAAGAGGAGGCCGCCGCAAAGCTCATGCAGCTTTGCATGGCCGGAAACGGCTCAGCTGATAAAGATGATCACGTTCAAACGGCAGTCGCCGCCGGGTGTAGTAGTAGTGATCAGGGAAGGAGTATGAAATGTTCTAAATTGCGCGAGGTTAGTTTCTTTAATTGGATCTCAATATCCTTAAATTTCAATTATGATATAACAAAACATCCGGAACTTTACCAAAAAAAGTAGATTCTAGGGTACACATAAGGTATCATACCTTTGTCTAAATGGACAAATGAGAACGTAGCAGTTGAATTATTTAAATCTAAATTAAAAATGATAAAGTGATCTGGTATAATCAAATGAATGATAAGTACGGTACCACATTTTTTAGAAAGTCGTATCAAAAAACTCTATAACCAAAAAAATAAACACATATGGACTACTACATATGAAATATGATCGAGTGGGACGTTGGGTACAAAATCAAAGTTTTAAGAAAAATGTTGCAACTTTTATAAAATAAAAGATTTAGATGCATTACGTTAACGTGTGCTTTTTAAAAAAACTTTCAATTTGTATCCAATTCCGAAAATTTTCTTCACAAAAAGTGGGACGCCGGGTACATAATCAAATTTTTAGAAACTAGGGTGTAAGTCTAATATCACCCATAGAGTGAGGTGCAAAGTCGAAATTTGCCAAAATTAAAATATAGACAGTACTAATTGTTATGATATATTTTGTCAAAAAATCCACTTGTTTGCGATAATTTTTCCGGTGCAATAATGAAAGTACGTGAAACCCGTTTGGCTATACGCGCTGTTTTTCAGCTTATTAGACATCAACAAAAATTTTCATCAAATACATACTTTTTTATTTGCGCGCTGAATTGTGTAATAATTAGAAAACACTATTTTTCGGGCTGTGTTGGATGAAGTCAGTGTAGAGCATCATTTTAAATGTTTTTCATTTAATTTTTTCTTCATTTTACTAATAAAATATATTTTAAATATAATTTTTTCATAAAACATCAGAATCAATCAATCCAGCAATTTCAGTTAGAACTTGATAAGTTTCACCCAAACCATACAACAGATTTGGATATTATCAAATAGGCTCTTAATATGAATAAGATTATTAGTTAGGTGATAACTAATATAATTTGTATGTAGTTTAGCAAAATTATTTAGGAATGATGTCCCCATCTAATTAGGCGTCTATATACATTTGAAATGGTGGATCGATCATTATTTTTATTTGATAATGGGTTGAATCCAAGGGATGTTCGCCACTGGCCAGTGCTCAGTCCACTTTTACTTTATTGAATATTACTTATTCAATGTTTTTGACTATAGGCACAAATAGATTCATTATTTTCCACAGTAAATCACGATGCTCAAATCCAAGTATTAATTAATTCAAAATATACAAGATGGTGACATTGTGACTTCTTACATTTTCTCCACCGTTTGTTACAATTATTAGTAACAAGTTAACAACTCAACTTCGCCTAATATAGTAATTAATAATAAAGAATACGTTATTGATCCAAAAAAGGTGGAATCTCCCACCCCAGGAATCCCCTATCCCGACCCGACAGGATGATGGAGAGGTTAGTCACGATGACTCAATCGGCAGAATACGTTAATGTTTTCAATTTTGGGCACCAAAATATAAAAGTCAATAGTCATAGCCTGATATAGTTGAATATTCATAAATTTCATCCATTTATCATACATTTATACGTAGGACTACCTCCGTCCCAAAATGATGATCCTGTATTTCCTTTTTGGGATGTTCCAAAATGATGGTCTTGTTTCTCTTTTTGAAAAGAAAGATGTAGTCCATATCATTTCACTTTATTATACTCAAATCTCAACCACAACTTTTACCTTTTCAACGACTTTATTAAAACTTGTGCCCAAAAGAAATGAGACCATCAAATTGGGACGTAGGGAGTATTAAACTTCATATTCTTATTAATTCCGATTTTCATTTCAGTAACACTTTGTATGTATGTATATACTTCCTCCGTTCTTAAATAAGTGAAACACGTTGAATTTTTAACATTCTTACTAATAGAGAATTATATATATTAATGATCAAAGTTGTGTCTCAACAAATGTGAAAAATTGATCATTGCACTATTTAAGAACGGAGGAATTATTAAAGAAAGTATTCAAAAGTATACCATTTTATTTCCTCCATCCGTCCCAAATTAAAACATGTAAATTAAGGACACCAAAGAAAAAGAGTAACACAAAATTGAACTTTCCAACCTCGCGCGGTCACGCAACGTCACCAAAGAAAAAGAGTAACACAAACTCATAGACTATTTTGTTTTTATTAACTAATTTAAGGGATAAAGATCAGATAGGACCTCAAACTTGAAAAAAATGTCAAATAAGGCCATATTTAGGATGCTCTGTCCGGCCGACGCCATTTGGGGCGGTTCCCGGTGGAATTTTTTATTGAATTTTTTTGGGAATCTTATTCATTAAGTCTATTTTACTCATATCAAATTTGAACTAAAACTTCAATCGGGAAGGCATACAAATGAATTCTTGAAGATAACTGCGCAGTTAAAAGAGCAGTTATCTTCAAGAATTCATTTGAATGCCTTCCCGATTGAAGTTTTAGTTCAAATTTGATATGAATAATCTAGACTTAATGAATAAGATTCTCAAAAAAAAGCATCAAAAAGTTCCACCGGGAACCGCCCCAAATGGCGTCGGCCGGACATAGCATCCTAAATATTGCCTTATTTGACATTTTTTTCCAAGTTCAAGGCAAATTTAAATATTAAGAAGAACATAATTTCAAATCTTAATTTGTTACTGAAATTAGTCACGTTCTAGCAAATAATTAAGTTCTAACGAGTAATCCAACAAACACACAATATTAAGAAAATGTGTATAACGCGTCGTGAGTAGAATGGATGCTAACAAAACATGAATCACAGAAGTATGTTATTTTGAAAGTTCTTTTTTGTGATGCAACTTTTGTTTTATGTTTGAACTTTCCTAAAAATTGACAATTTATGAAACCTACAACTAGAAGTGAATTAAAATCAGAAAAATTTCTCCTAAAAAAGGAAAGTACAAGTTTTAAATAGTCGTTTATTGTTTCTCATGTCATCATTAACAAACATTAGAAAACTCACACACAATCAAATACTTTGTGCATGTTTGTCAAGTAAAAGTTCATGCATTCTAATTCAACTACAAATTTTTAAAAATAATACAAAGAATTATATTATTTAAAAAGTCTCTAAAAATTTGTAGTTGAATGTTTTGCATGACAATTTTAAGAGGTTTTTCAAAAATAAAAGATCTTTTTGAGATGCAACTATGAGTTAACATCTGAGAAAAATTTGTAGCTTTTAGCAGTAAGTAGTTAGTCTCAACAACTTGTATGTCAAATGTAATTAATTCAAACACTCATATTTTTATCAAACAGCTGTCACTAAAAGCTAACAATTATAAAAAAGTTCATAAAAGTATCTTTTTAGTTAGTTATGTCAATCATGTCTTTTGTCTTGTAAGCAACATGCATACATATTGCTAGGTCGATTATAAAATCTAAATTTCATATATGCTCTTGCACGTACTATTTCGAACCGGCCTATTAAGCTCAAAACATTAGTTAAAGACCAATCACATGAATGAGCTTCAAAATTCGATCTATTTAAATGAAGAAGATTCATGTTGTGGCTTGTTACTTACGGAGTACTTATTACCCTATATTATTTCTTATTTGACCATCCAATTTTGCTTTAATTGAAAAAAAAACGCTAATACTTGGAAATAATTGAGGGACTGAAAATGGTTACACAGAAAATTGGACCGGTTTTAAAACTTTATTATGTTCCAAAAGCAAGAAAGTATTTTATTGGGCTATAATATAATTGGTTCAAATTAATTAATTAATTGACATTAGTACTACACCTCCCACATGCTGAAGTTTCGACTACTAATATGGCGGAAAATTAAAACATAATGGGCAATACTTCCAATTTTTCCAAACTATTACTAATAAACGAGTCACGGACAAAATCAGCATGACTTTGTAACTTTTAATGACTATAATTGTATTCAAAATTACTATGATATAGATTTTGAATACAATAATATATAGTCACTAAAGTTAATAAGTCACATTTTTGTCAATCATTTTTCAAAAAGTAATATAGGTATTTGCTAATTCTCATTGTACACAAAATTTGTATATAAATTATACACAACTTGTGTACACATGCAACTCACAAAAATATTTCTTTTAAATCAATTATCATCGAAGAGAGATAATTAAGAGCATCTCCAATGCTACGACGTACACGGTGCACATGTGACATGAGAGATATAAACACAAAAAATTAAATTTATGACATTTCTCTCTCCTTCTTTCCACGGTTTTGTATGTTTTGGTAAGTTTTTCTCAATAATGTCAACCATAATGTCTACATCTAGACATTGTTTTTGACATTATAGATAAAAACTTACCAAAAACATATAAGACCGTTCAAATATAGAGTGAGATATTATATTCGTTATTTTTTAATTGGTTATCTCTCGTGCCACGTATGCATCATTCACGTTTTTGCATTGGAGATGCTCTAAGAAAGTGCGTACAATTTGCGAAATTTTTCCAAAAATAATTCGAAAAAGAGATGAGTACAAGTAACATGAACAAAATAATGTTCGTACTGATTGATTGCTACGAGTTGGACGGCTGCGTTGAATATTATTTGGGTGGCGTGATTTCAGCAATCAATCGAAAATTGCGCGCCTGACCGTGTTAAGCTTTCTTTCTTTTGACCAGCCTATTTTCACTGAGCATCTTCATTCATGATCTCTAATAATCAATTTTTTATATGATTCTTACCATTTAAATATTGTTATGTAATTAATTATAAAATAATCTCAAAATTCGTTTATGTCTCTCAATCATCATCTTCAAATAATCTGTTTTTTCTCTGTTCCGCATTTATCTCTATTACATATACTTTTCAAATAATATTAAAATAATCCGGATTCATATTTTGATCCCAGATTATTGTAGCAAATAATCCTATTAAATAATCTATGTCACTCATTGATAATTCTTTAAAAAAACTGCGATGTCACCAATTTAATCTTGTAATAATCCTCCCAATGAGGATGCCCTAATACCGCCCTATCTAATTATAGTCAATTTACTAAAGAGTTCATATTTCTATAAATAATTTTCATTTTAATCATAAACATATAATTATTTGTTAATAAATCTTATAGTTTTATCCAAGGGTTTTTTACAAGAATATTACTAAAATAAGTCATATTTACATAAATATAACTATTCATGACTACAATGCGGTGTTGTGGTAACTTAAGCTCAACTTGAATATGAATTAATATGATTTCATTACTACTCTAGTCATTAGTCATATTTTTGTAAATCATCTTTATTTTGATCATATTTATGTAATTATTTCTTTATCCAAACCAGGTTTTTGACAAGATAAATCTAACTGTTAAGAATAACCATTGACACTAATCAGCGAAATAGTCAAATTAGAACATATCAAACTTGACTACACTAAACAAATCAGACCTAATATGAGTTAGATAATAATAAAATATGTGTAATACGTAGTATAGCACCAGATTTAAATAATTATTGTCTTTCATTTTATGCTCCTATTTAATGAATATGAAACATTTATCATTAATTATTAATACTATCGTATGACATTTATATGGTGGTTGTGATTTGCAGAAGAGGGTAGGATTCTTGCCAATGAACCAAGGAGAGATCCACCAATTAGCAGTGGCATCTTAGCAATAATAGCAGAGTGTCAAGTAGTATAGTAATTAAATATTACATTACATACTATATGTTCATATGGAAATTCTATAATCACCTATCTACCTGCTCTGATGTTTTGTTGTTTTTAATCACCCTGTAAATGTGCAAGCTATGTCCATAGAAATCTCTGCGTGTAAATGCAAGTTATGAATCCATGCTCACAATGCGATTATACCATTTCGGTGATTTTGTGAATTCTGTGAGATAAAAGGGTTGACATATAAGCATATCTATTTCAATGATTTGCTAAAATTGTTGGATTTAATCGGTCATGGGTGTCACATATATGCATGCATGAGTGGAGTTTTTATTTAAGTATGGTTTATGTGTTAATTAATTTATTAAATTAGTGGTATTAGTTTGAAATTAAGCATTTGCTTTAGTGGGTGGTTACATAGCATGTTTGCATGTTTCCACTTCCCACAATCTCACTTCCCATGTAGGAATTATTGTAAGGCTATATATATGCCTCTTCTCTTCATTAATTAATACACATTGCATTTTGTTAACTCTTCCTTCTCATATTAGTTATTTCGGGAGAATTTATTTGTAGCTTCAATTTTGACATCAACACTTAGCTTGGTATAATTTATTAAGTGTAGATTTTCTTAATCAATTTATTTCCAACATTTGGTATCAGAGCCCAAAGATCTATTTGAATAATTTTTTTAGCTGTTCTTGATCGTTGGTTGAAGCATCTCAACGACAGCCTCGTTTTTCACCTGATCGGACTTGTTCCAGCGTTGTTGAGAGTATAATCGGGTGCGGGATAAACGGACAGAAAGACTTCATAGAAGGTTGCTGTGATTCGGTTCGTTTCGCGGGTGAAAGAAAACGGTAACGATGGTTGTGACTGTGTTTTCTTGATCGGTAGAAAATTCTTTCGGAACAAGTTTGATCAACAAAATTTGGGGTTGTCCAAACGAAGAATAGAATGGTGTTGGTACCAAGAGAAGGAGGTTCAATGACGTTTCAAGTTCCGACCTTGACCCGGATGAATTATCCGGTGTGGGCTATCAAGGTGAGGACGATCATGGATGCATATGGCTTATGCGAGACGGTCGAACCAATGGCACTAGGTGAACAAATGGATCCAAGGAAGTCAAAACAAGCTATTGCTTTCTTGTTTCAAGCGATACCCGAACACATGGTGTTGCAGATGGCGAGTTACACCGATCCAAAGCAAGTATGGGATGACCTAAACACGCGGTTTTTGGGAGTGGAGCGGGTGAGAACGGCTCGTCTTGCAACTCTAAAGAGGGAGCTCGAAGGATTGTGTATGAAGGAAGGCGAGACCGTTGATGACTTCGCCGAAAAATTGATCGGTTTAGCTTCAACGGAAAGGATCCTCAGATATGAAATTGAGGAATCAGATTTGGTGAAAAAGCTACTTGATTCTATGCCCAAGTCTTATCTCCAACTCGTTGCTTCAATTGAGCAATGGTTTGAGTTAGATGTGATGCTGTTTGAAGAGGCCGTTGGAAGATTGAGGGCGTACGAGGAACGCACAAAAGGCTTTGAGAAGTTGGAAGACAGCCAAGGTGGTTTGTTGTTGGCAAGTGAAGAAAAGTTTCACGGTTGTAAGCATTATGGCAATGGAGGTTCAAGTCGGGGTGACTTTGGACGTGTGATGTGAGTTTTCTCGCACTTAAAATATATCGTAATATAGTGGTGTAAGTACGAGAATCGTCTCCACAGGGACGGACAAAAGGGAATTAAGAATTAACTAAATTCAGAAATTAAAACGAAAATCAAGTAAAAGCGTCGTGCGAGATTAATTGGTTGAAAATGAACTAATGTCAATGAATGAATAAAAATAGATTGGTTTATCTCTAATTAACGATGAATGGAACACGGATTGATTTCGGGGTAACCAGATTTCTGGCAGATCAGGCCTAATTACATGAAATTAATTTAATTGAGCCTAGCTAATCATTACTAAGTTCTTACCGCTCTCGCGGCGTAAAGTAAAATAATTTAGGGTACAAGGCTGATCTCTCATGCGACAGGATACTAAATTATTGCCAAAACGAACGAGCTTACGGCGCCTTAATCGCTACTAATCTCTTAGCGAATGATTAAGTGTGTGTGAATGTGTCCTAGAATAAATTAGATCTCTCTTAACTTATTCTACAAGCAATTGTAATTCTAATGGCCATCTAGGTTACAAGAAATATCAGTTAAATTATTCTAACACGAATTAAATGGCATTCATGCAATTAAACCATTAAGAAACTAGTCATACATCATGATTAACCTCTGCATCATCCCAAATTCCTAATTAAACTACTCACAATTCATAATTGAAGAATCAACAAAATTAATTGTCATTAATTAAAAAGATGAACTTACAAATAATCCCAGGGTCTTGGAGTAAACAATGATAAAAACGCAAGTAATTAAATTCGTCCCTAGGCCTCTCCGTAATGTTCGTAACCCTTACAAGGGGTATGGATGCCTTACTTGTAGAAAAAGGGGAGAAAATACGAATTTTGGTCGAACTAGGACAATTTTTCGCGTAACACGAGGGTAGGCACGATCGTGCCTACCCTGCCAGGCACACCGTGCCTGGATTCCAATGGATGACATCTTCATTATAATACAGGCACAACGTGCGTCCATTCCCAGGAACGATCGTGCGTGGCCTTTTTTTACCATTTCTCTAGTCCGAATTTGACAAAACTTCCTTCAGGAAAGTTGTAGATAATGAAATCCTCTATCCACCACAACTTGCAAAACTGGATTTGAATCATCACATCAAAAGATATGAATAAAATAGTGGACGGTCACATTCTGAAATCGCAAAACCGATTATCTGACTTCTTCATATGGTGTCTTCATATGATTTGTAGCACTTTAAGTTGGCTTTCATATGCAACTCGAATCGTGTCCTTTGGATGCTTCTAAGAAGAGATATGATTGAACGATTGACATAAGGTCATTCTGAACGCCGTTTTTCAAGCTCTATTTGTCTTCTTTTGATCTTGTAGCTAATCTTAGAGCTCTTTTGTCATAAAATCTTTATTGTGAACCTCCCGGTGACATCCAAAGCTCTCAATTCACTCTTGAATGATTCTCGAATCATCCCGTTTGCTCCTCAAGCACCGGTGCCGGACTCTAAATTCCTGATTTTGACTCCAAACAACACAAAACTCGAACCAACGCCCGGTAAACATAACTTGAGCTACAATTGAGACTTACAACACCTTAAAGTTAGGAAAACCATCAAAAGTCGATCCCAACATGTAAGGAATAAATGTATTTAGATTTTGATGATGCTAGGTTGATTAGAATTTTAAAGTACCCCATTAGCAATTTTGTATTAGAAATTTTCTTTGTAAGTATTAGCATAGTCGACTGGCCAGAGACCCTCTTGGACTTTCTGATCAGCGTTGCTCATCAGAGTTGCTATCAGAGTTGCTCCCAGAGTTGCTCATCAGAGAAGCTACCAGAGTTGGGTACCAGAGTTGGCATCAGAGGCGGTCATCAGAATCTCAACCAGAGAGCCTCATCAGATTTGCTTATACTTAGCAGAATTCGAAGGAACATTCCAACGGCCGTGAAACTAACGGGAAATACCCTAACTGCTAGGAACCATTCGATGAAAACAATTGTTGGTCCCGATTGTACTGGATACAGTCTAGAGGGGGGGGGGTGAATAGACTGTATCGGTTTTTAGCTTTTTAAACTAAGTACCAGATTTTACAGAATAGCCTGTTCTGTTGACAGAACAGACTGGCAGCGGATGGGGTTCTGGTAGGGAGTTCTGTTGATTTAGCCTCAGAGAAGCAAAGGCAATAGGCCTTCTGTTAACTCGTAAGACAAGTTCTGCTGAACACAGATACCAAGTCTAAGGAGTTAGACAGTTCTATCTAAGTGCAAATATAAAAGCAGTAAGTAAACGACACCAGGGATTTTTATAGTGGTTCAAGGAACAACTCGTTCCTCTAATCCACTGTTCCACTAAGCTTGTAAAAACGACCGTTTACAACGCCTTAGTTCTAGCACTTAAGAAGCTCTCCACGTCTTCTTCAAGCCTAGATGTCTCCTGGGATGCACTGCCTGACTTCCTTTAAGACTAGTCCTTTCACTGAGCTTCCTGGAAGTATCACCACTTCACTACTCCAGTTACTTGGACGTCCTTCTTGTAGCAAGAAGAGTTTCTGTTGAAACAGGGGTTCCTCCAACTAGCTTCGTTACAAAAGATTTGTATGTGATGAGCTTGAAGAGTTGAAGAACACTTGGAACTTTGCTTGAGTTGGAAAAAGTATTTTTCCAACTTCTGCCTTCTCTTGTAGAAGATGATGAAGTGTTAATCTCAAGGAGGCTTTTTGCTTTTCAGAGTTTGAATTCCTTGTATGAAGAGTTGTAGCAATGGTTAGCAAAAATTGCAAAGTTATCCGGTTGTTCTTCGTAGTGTATCTTTTATACTAAGATTGTCTTCCCGTTGGAGGAGTAGGAGGACAACTGCATTTAATGCGCAAGCAGTTGACTTGACCAGTAGGACCCGGTAAAGTTGGCGGGTTACTATTTTGGGATAAAGTATTCCTGACATTGCGGCCAATCATCTGCAATTACTCTACGGAGCATGGGGAGCATTAAATGAGCATTTAATGCGCGTACTATAGCTTTGCCGTTCAATACTCCTAGCCGTTGAAGGAATCTTCAGTTAAACTTCCCGGCTTTGTGGAAATCTTCTAAGTGTCAGACCTTCTGGTGTCTTTAACTGAGAGTAGAACAGAGGAGGTCTGGAGCACTTCTGTTGAGAGTCTTTCCAACAGAGACCCAGAAGGGTTTCTGTCAGAGTAAAGCCTAACAGAGACCCTGAGGTCTTCTGTTCTGGAGCAGAGAACCGAAGGTCCTCTGTTTCAATAATGCCTTATGAGGGTCTTCTGTTCTTGGAGCCCTTCTGCTCAGAGGGTCTTCTGCTCTTGGAGCCCTTCTGCTCAGAAGGTCTTCTGCTCTGAAGGCATTCTGCCAAGTCGATTACACTAAGAACTTTACAAATGAAAATTCTAATACATTAAGTCTAAAAAGGGGTACTCTAAAGTCCTAATTAATCTAGCATCATCAAAATCTAAATACAAATATTCCTTACAATTTCCCCCTTTTTGATGATGCCAAAACCCTTTAACTATTTCCAGAGAAGTGCCTTCACCATAAAGAAAGATTAAAGTTTAAAAACTTCCATTAAAATCTTGGTGGGCAACT